AAAGAAAGAGCTACTCAATCTGGGGGATGTATTTTCTACTTTTGAGAATACAATCCCCCTTTATTCGAGAGCATAGGTCCCATAGAATGTCTGAAATCTGTGGTTAGTGCCAACCCTACACAAACAATGTTTTATCCTACACATATACATACCCATGAAGTGTAATTTATGCATTAAGCATAGCAAGCATTTAAAAATGCTAATGAATTAGAACAACTACAACAATCGGCTGTAATTAGTTATGTGAATGTCTTGTCGCTCTCAAAAATACTTTCTGGTAGTATATTCAGACAGTTAAGGGAGGAGTGGGGTATTGCTCTTACTCAGTTCCTAGATAAGGGGGTATGACTGACTGTAAGCCCTACTAAGAAAACGGTATTACAATTCAATGGATAACGTGGTGCTCATCCTTGGAGGCAGAACTTAACGATTTCTGAAACTCAAAACTCTTTTCTCCCCAGGATAACTGCTGTGTACCAGCCCAAAAAGGGTTCAGCAAGTGTTTACGGGTGGGATGCTTTTTATTCCCAAGTAAATCAACCAACGATCACAATAAGAGGGGGGGGGGGGGGGAGCGCGGTAGCTGCGAAGCCGGTGATGCCAGAGGGGCCGGAGCAAAGGCGGGGACCGATCGAGCTGCGAGGGAAGGCGATGCACTAACCTCTCCTCCCGCAGAGACGAGGGATGCAGGTTTCCGCCTCCCGGCCGCAAGCAGAGACCCCGGTGAGGGGCCGCCTTCCGCCCCTAACTCCGCAGCCCGGCTCGCACCGGGCTCTCGTCCGGCGCCGACACTGCGCAGGCGCGCACACCCCGGCCCGGCGGAGCGTGAACCGCCCGACCACGTGACCGGCAGGCCACGTGACCGCGCCGCCGCGACCTTTTCCGCTCCCTGGGTCCTGGGCCCTCCCGGTCCCTGCTGGCTTCCGCCTCCCGCTCGCTTCCTTATTCCGCTTCTGTCGTCGCCCCCGCTGTCCCCGCCTTTGTCCCCGGAAGATCTCCGCGTCCTGGAGCCGGCCGCCATGGTGTGTCTCTGGCGCGGCTGCCAAATAAAGTTTCGTCATTCAAAACCACTATTCCCAGCGCTTCCCTCCCTCCTCGCAGCTCCTCCTCCGCCTGCGCCGCCCTTCTTCAGCGGCCGGAGAGGCGCGAGCGCCCGCACTTCGAAAGGATGGCGGGGCCTCCGGCATCTCTCTCGGCACGGGACGTAGGGTTCGTGTCGCTTTCCTGCCCGGTCCATCCGCAGCTCTGCCGCCGCCTCGCTAGGGTGGAGAGCCGGGCCTCGGGGGAGCCGCGCGGAGCTTGCAGGCGGGGGTGGACCCCGAGCGCCTGCTCCCTCGACCGCCTGCTCCGTCCTGCCGCCGGCTCCGCTTCCAGGGATCGTTTTCCGCCGACTCGGGAGGAGACCGGGGCGAGGTGGCCGCCGCCGGCTCCAGACGCGGGGCGGCTCGTTTTGGGCTGGTCTTTGCGGCGCTTCGTGGCCTCGTCCCTGGCGGCGCGGGAACCGGCTGCGGCGCCCACTGCCCACCTCGCCCGGCAGAGATGGGTCAGGCGTGTTGACGAGCTTCGAGTCACTTGGATTTGAACCGTTCATTTGTCTTGAAAGGGGCCGGAGGCCGGGCTTTTACCGCGCACCACCGCCCGCTTTCGGGCAGCTGCAGAGCTTGGCTTTCGTATCTCTAATACACGCACTTGGCGGGGGCAGAGGGGTGTCAGTGTCAGAATCTCGGCTCTGTCGAAAAGTGTTTCTTCTCGTTAGTGATCAGAACCCTCTCAGTAAAAAAAAACAAACAACAAAAAAAACAAAACAGCTTTTTCCCTTTTAGACGTCATGGCGCAGTTTCTAGGTAAAGTGGACAGCCACAGAATGAAAATCCTGTTTATGAATTGAATGGCTGTTTTTATGTTTGAGGTATGACCTTACTCCAAAGTATTGCAAATCACAAGAACGTTTAGAAGGAAGCGCCATCACCCAGAGCAGATTCATGCCAGAGTGGCACCGATGATACCACGTTTAAGTACTTCAGGGTCCTGCAGGTTTGGGCTCGCGTCCTTAAATACTGAGCGCCAGGTAACCTGCCCACACCTACTTCCCAAAGGTGCCCTTACTCCAGAGATGCAGGTCCCTGCTCAAATTTAGTCTCTGGAAAGAGAGTGACACTTTCCAATGAAATAAGATCTCAAAGGACGGTTTCTTCTTTTGGTTATCTGCTGCCTTGGAACGTTCAGGTATCAGGGATTAACTTCCCTGCCAAGGAAATAGTAATTTTTTTTTAAGTTAAATTCTGATCAGAGTATTATGCACATTAAAATGTATGTAATTCTTGTTTAGGATACTCAAGGCATCACGACTGAGATGTTTTTGCCTTTTTTCTTAAGGTTTTAGAACTATCACTTGAGGTACTTGCGGTATATAACCCAATGTTCTAAGAACTGCAGTAAGATACTCGAATTTTTAGAAGTCTGGTGATACCAAACTAAAAAATAGTTGATTTGGACAGAGATATTTTCAAAATTATCTCATCAATTTTATTCCTTTTTACTGTGTGTATCTAGTAACCTGAAGATATGAACTTTTAGCTAAGTTCAGTGCTCTTGAAAGCTATACATAACGTCATCACTTTTTTTCTAAATGAATCACATGTATTTCCTTAAATGAATTATAGATAACATAATACCCTGTAAATCTTGGGTTTTGTATGTCTGAAATCAAGACTAACTTTGTATGCATATGTACACAGATTCCCTCATCTTCAGCTTTCTGCGTTCTTTGATATCTCTAGAAAAGAGCCAGTGTTTTTGGTTGGGAGAGTAATTTTGTTTGGGGGGAGACTAGGATGGAAGATAGAGAAAGCAAAGAATTAAAATTGGCTAGAAATATAGGGAGAGAAAAAGAAAGAAGCACGTTCCTAAATCTCTGTGTTCAGGCTCAGAGTCTTTCTGGTGGTTTTCCTGTTACCTCATTCACTTCTCTCAGGGGGAGTATGCTTTATTAGGCCGACAGCCTGCTTGATAAGGGAATCCTTTTTTTTTTTGTCCTAGCACACAGTTAAATTAGTTTTTGATGGAGGCAAGTAAAAGGAGTAGGGTGGGAAAGATGAGCATGATTAAGCAGACTCCAGGGGAGAACCTGGAATTAGAATTAAAAAGACTGCATAGTTCATGACAAACAGAGTGTTTCCCTGTGTCTCAATATAGCCAGGCAGTGCTGGTTTACCTTGGGGTGGGAGAATGAAAAGGAATTTGGTTAGAATGAGGGGTTCTAGCAACCGAAAGATGGTCAGTCATTTTATTTTACTTTTTTTTGTCTTTTAAGTATTGATTCTGCTCAATATACATGGTGTATGTGATTCTCTTCTAGGTCGTTTGCATATCTTACAGTTAAAGACAGGATACCACAGATCTTAACCAAGGCTATTGATTCATTACACAGACATAAAAATGAACTTTTTGAGAAACATGGAGAGGTAAGGATTATGCTTTAAATCTTTTTGTTACTTCTATAACAAAGGCAATAAACAATTTTTCATCTCTGATAATGGATGGTCAATCCACTTGAAGATAAAGAAAAAACTGCTTCATAAGTTGAAAATTTAAAAAAAATAGGCGAACTAGATAAGACAAGATAATGTTGATAGGAGAACTGTATGTTTTCTTTGATTTCAGTTTAAGAGTTCTAAATTTTAGTGTGCAAGAACTGCAGTTTTGAAATGTGTTTTTTTTCCTCCTTAAATTTAAGTTCATAAAAATATATGTCCCTACAGGAATTATTTATGTATATTTACGCATAAACTATATATAAACTACTCATGTGTTTATATGTATTTTTCCCTTATTTCTGCAGGAGGGTATGGAAGCTGAAAAGAAAGCCATTTCTCTTCTCTCTAAATTACGAAATGAATTACAAACAGATAAACCAATTACTCCTTTGGTTGAAAAGTTTGTTGATACTGACCTGTGGAATCAATACCTGGAATATCAACAGAGCCTTATAAGTGAAAGTGATGGGAAAGCCAGGTGGTTTTACTCACCCTGGTTGTATGTAGAATGTTACATGTATCGTAGAATTCACGAAGCCATAATCCAGAGGTAAATATATCCCATTAACTAGTAAATGTTTCGATAATTTATGCTCTTTTGAAATGAAAGACAGTGGGAGCCTCAGTTGAGTTCAGCAGATATTAATGGCACCGTTGGGCATTTCTGCCAATGTTATCAATAGAGCAGCTTCTTGGCAGTTTTAATTCTTTTGCACAGACTAAGCATAAGATGGAATAGCTGACATAAAATCTAACTAGCTTATTAATTTTTTTACTTGTTTTTCTTCCAAAGTAAAACAGATTGTACTTACTGATTGAGCAAAAAATGTCACTTTGGAATATTTATAGAAAAAGTCAAGAGGGGACAGAGCAATCATGCTTTGTTTACAGAAATAAATAATATGTCAGAATTAATTTGGCATAGATATCAATAGTGAACCAGGACTTTGCTCCATGTACTGTCTTCATTATTCTTGAAGTCTGTGTTTTTATGGCTAGACTGAAACTCACAATTAAATGCGTTCAAATAGCTTTCTGGGTACTTGTTTACACTGTAATTTTCTTGGGAAAATTCTGACATAGAACTGATTGATAAAACAGAAGGCCATATAATGAGGATCAGCTTCTCAGCTCACAGGTTACAAAAGGACAGGTATGTTGAACAAATGGAATCCATTGGTATCGGTCCCTAAATATAACATAAGATTAAAGCAGTTGGCTCAACCAGCACGAACAGTAAAATTAAAACAAGAGAAACTTGCATACGTTTGGGCCTATTCATTAGCTTTTTCTGCTTTCATCTTTACAAATTATTTTACCATTGCAATTCGTTGCTTTTGTTGAATAGGTATGGGTTAGGGTTTCTGCTTGAAAAGCAACATAGATCTCTAAAAATCTAGCATATACAACCTAGCACGCAGAAGGCACCCAAAATAACATACCTAAGAGCTGCTGTACGTAGAATGTCAGCTCGAGTCCAGTTATGCCACAGTCCATAAATCTTTTTAAAGATTTATTATTTATACATACAGAACTGGGGTACAGACCAGAGGTGTGGGGAGTGACAGGACTTGCAGGAGACAGTGGGGAGCAGAACAGGTAGATTAGCTGAAATACACTGCTGAGGGGGGTAGCGGGCAGGTCAGGTGAGGTCTGCCACACTATGAGGGTCACCTTCCTGGCCTGGCCAGGTATTCAGCTCGCGCTGCAGTGGCTGAGACAGCTCCATAGTGCTGTGCTTTAATCAGTTGTGGCGTCAGGGAGGGCCCTGGGAGTGTAGGTATTACTTTTTAGTAGGTTTCCATTTTGCAGTTGAAGAAACTGAAGCTCAGAGGCATTAATGACTTACCCAGGGTTACATGGCTGGTAAATAATAGTAAAAGCCAGTTTTTGAGCTTAGTCTATAAATCAGGTTAGAACCCTCACCAAACTGTGCTTTCCCAGGTAATAGCTTTGGATGTCTGTCAAGAGTTAGTCTGAAACTGGGTGACAGGATCATCATTTTAGAAAATACCTGGGCCATTCACTAAAACTGCTGAGTGTTGAAAGACTGGAGAGCACGCAGAACAGGTTTTGTGGAGTTTTGGAGTTAGAAGGCCCCAAGGAATGCGGTTACTGAGTTTAGAGGTGGAACAGATTCAGGAAGTAAAAATTTCAGGGCAGAAATTCACAAATCTTGTTGTGCATTTCTAACTCAGCTGGGGAGAAGGTCGTCTTCTTGATTTTTTTCAACATGCAAATTTTTAATTTATTATATTGAAACAAGTACTGATGACTGACTTTGTGTGCCGTGGGGCCTGTTCTGGAGCTTTCTTTCCATGCCTCAGGGAGAGTCCACTGGACAGCCTGGGTTGACCTCCACTGGTTGAACAACAATTGGATAAAAGTGACAGAGGCAATATTTAGCTTTCAGTTTGGGAATGAGAATGTCATTCAGCCGAGGGATTGAGCTCACCTCTGGGGATCTATGTTGCAGATCTGGGGGTTGGTATTCTCCTGTGCCAGGACTTGCATTTAGGAGCGTGTGAGGAGCAGCTGGCCCATGCCCTTGGCTCCTTTCAGAGGCCCAAGTTATCAGGGTCTTGTGGGAGACCCTGTCACTGCCAGCTCCAAAGAGACCAAAGAAGGTTATCTGAACTCCAGCAGAACCCCAAAACACACATGAGCTTCAACGTGTGTTTATGTTGATTTTGCCCCTTCCATTGAACAGGCATCTAATTTTCTTTGTCAAGATATTTGTTTTGGTTTTATTAGAGTCAAAGAGTTGAAGGGTCTGCGGGTCTAAATTAAGATTCAAAGTTATGACCATCTGTGAAATTTTAATCTATTGACTAGATACACAGAGGTATTGGAGAATGAAGGTACAGACAAAATAGCAGACCTCTGACAGCACTGACTGAGTGACATATGTACAGACCAGTGCTAGTGTCACATCCTCCCCGTCTTCACCAGCACACACGTGTCTCCACTACGGGCGAGAGGCAGAACCTCAGAGAGCCCCAGGGGCCCCCTTGCAGCCCTGTCTGGTCAGGCCCATCATCGATGGCCCCTCGGGGTAGCTGCTATCCTAACCTGCTAGTTTTGCTCGTTTTAAAACTTTATTTAAATGAAATTATGTGGGACATCACCTTGTGTCTGGCTGCTTTGACTCAGCTCTATGACCTGAAACTCATCCACGTCGCTGCATATAACCGAAAATCGCCTGTTTTCGTTGTGAGACTCTTGCATGACGCATACTTACTGCATCCTACTTACCTGTTCTCTGTGGATATTTGAGTGGTTTTCAGTTTGGGGTTCCTATGAGGAGCTCGTCGACAACATTCAGGCTCATCTGGTGAACATACATGTGTGTGTCTGGGCATATACCAGGAATAATCCACCGGTTATGTGATTGCACCTACGTATTGATAGCGTCAGTAGATCCTAAAATGGCAATCACTTAAAAATGAGAAAGCATATGTAGTGATGAATTTACTCTCTTAAATCCAAGAGATAAGGTTCATTCTTAATGTGAATTGCGACTTTAAACCAATGAATGAGATTTGTTGAGAAAACATGAGGCTTGGACCAGCACAGTTTTCTGTAAAGGCCAGAAGTCCTGCAGGCTGGAGGAGCCAGGTGACCGTGCTGCCTGGTGCCAGGCTCTGAGGGACTTTTGCCTGTTTCCCAAAGAAACCTCCAAGGGATGAGCATCCACAGTCGCAGACAGGCTCCTCAGGTTCTGAAGAAAATTCCAAAAGCGCCATGAGCAATGGCGACACCCTAGGACTAAGGGGCACTGGCAGGTCACTGGCTGGCGGGAAGGCGGCAGCCGTCATCGGATGTACAGGCTCTGGTATGTTTGCTAAACGGAAATGAGTCCTGTTACACTCCTCAGCTGGTTTCTGTCCTTAGCTCGACGCCCGTGATAAAATCGGCCACGTCGAGGAGCAGATGCCCCGAGTGGCTTTGCGGTTGGTGGCGGGAGCCCACTGGGTTGGCGTGTACCTCTGCTTCCGTGCGTCCTGACCCAGCATCAGCATTGCTTGATGCCACAGTGTGAGATGAGTGAACTCTGGGTCAGCCTGTCCCCACCACGCCCCAGCACACGTCCGTGGTCAAAACTGGCCTAATGATAAAGCTTAGCCCTGTGTCCGGTTGGCCTGAGGTCGTCACCGCGCCCCAAGCACCGTGTCACTTGCCGCCTGTGTCAGTGCTGCTGTATGTCCACGTGCTTGTGTGAGGCCCGGCCAGGGGTGCCGGCCCAACACAAACAGTCTTGACATTTTGCTGCTTTTCCTCCTTTTGCGCTGGAAACTCTTTGGGTAGATAATTATGAATGCAGTTGCTGTAGTTATTTCATGCTTCTAGTAAAGTATTTGGCTAGGGGACATTTGATGACTAATGTACATGAGCTCAGGAGCTTTGCTTTTGGGTAATTTCATTCTGTTCCACCTGGTGCTGGTTGCCAGTAACTACGGGGCAGAACAGTACAAGTCTCTTTCCTTTACAGAATTGCAATGAAGGTTATGTGTTTTTGAAAAAGATACAGTTCAGTGAATGTTTCATTTATGTTTTCCTCTTGCTGTAGCCCGCCAATTGACTACTTTGATGTATTTAAAGAATCCAAAGACCAAAATTTCTTTGAGTCGCAGGAGTCAGTCATCACTCTGTGTACACACCTGCAGGAGCTGAAGAGCAGGATGGAACACCTTGGCAGAGAGCAGCTGAAAAATGAGTTCTTCAGGCTCCTTCAGGTAAACATGAGAGCTCATCTCCTGAGTACATTTATTTGTTTTTGTAAACAGCTCAAACATAAAAGGGAGCGCATCGGACCACAGGCAAGGTACATAAGTCACACGTGATCACCTGTACGATTTTAGCGATCGTGTTGTCCACGAGATCACATCCATTCGGTCCCTGAAAAAGGGTCTTGAAATGCCCCGTGTTCCAACTGGACGTGACTCTGGGCACAGGAGCCGCCTGGCTTCTGAGCGGCTGTTGCTCCTGGGGGATGTGTCGCCCTGACTGGTCAGCCCTGGGGCCCCGGCGTGGTGCCCGCCCTCTTGTTTATTTGTGGCTGGACCTGGGGCTCATTGTTTAATTTAATTTCTGCGCTTTGAACTAGATGTATTTCAGGTAAGGGTGGAGTGCAGAGTCTGGGACACAGACTTCCTGTTATGAGTAGGTGAAACATTGAAACCGATTTCATAGGACCTATTTCATAGTTTCATCACACTTTTTCATTTGTCTTTAAGTTTAGGTTTTCTTACTCAGAACAGCTCAACACTGAAAATACATTACTAGAATCAGAGCTGCATGAAAATGTGTAGTAGATGGCAGAATCCCTACCCTCACTTTCCCCAGAAGAAGTTAGAAGCATGTCCAGAAAGAGGGGTTAAAGTTGCAGTGGAGAAGGGCAGAGGAGGAGGGGGTGTGGGGAGGAGGCTGCTGAGAAGGTGCCTCGGAAGCAGGCGAAGGAGCAGGTTGGGGGGCCGAGCACCTGAGGGGGTGGTGTGTTCCTGCTGAGGCCTTGAGGTGGGAGCCCCCAGGTGAACGTGAGAAGCTGCCAGGCCATTCTGCAGGAAATGAGGAGAGCGGTGAAGAGGGGCTGGGAGGGCCATGGAGCCTTCCTAGCCGAGACAAGGGCTTCGGGGTTTACTCAGAAAGGAATGGGAAGCAGCTAGAAGGTTCCTAGAGCAGTAACACTGAGTGGCTCACTTAGGGGTATTTCTGAGAACAGACTGAAGAGGCACAGGGCAGGAAGAGGGCGATCCGTTATTGAACGGACTCAGGTTAGGACTGAGCAAAGCGTAGTGGAGGGGGCAGGTGTCCCCAGACTCTGCATATACTTTGCAAACGGAGGGTCTGCCTGTGCTGTCAGACTGTGGGACGTGACCGAGTCCTGGTGTCCCTCCCAGGCCCGGTGGAGTAGCAGAGTGACTAAGGGGGAGACTTGGCTGGTGCTTGGAGAAAAAGTGGCCGAGGAATTGCTAGCAAAAATGAAAGCTGGTTATTGCTCCTCCCCGCCAGCTGTCCTTTATGCTCAGCTTAGAATGAAAAGAAAGAAAAGTTACCACTTTTTGACCCCGCAGGGCCATCCTTGCAGGGATAATCCTTGAGTGTGCGCCTTGCCCCGAGTCTGATCAAGTGAGAGGAAGGAGGACCAGCCCATTTCCATCATCTGGCCAGCGCACCCAGACTGCCACTCCACCCCCCTGTGAAGAAGCCAGAGTTGCTTCCCGTTAGTGCGCGCTTTGCCCGGCTGGTTCACGTGCTCTGAGAAGCCTGAGTGTTTCCATTGGCAGGAAATACTGTGCCACTGTCCATATACTTCTGTGCCTGCGCTGCCAGAGACTGTTCTAGAAGGGGCATGTGAAGGTGTGCAAACAGGCAGCCTGGCAGTCAGTCACAGAACTCTCAGTCTCTGGCAAATAGCTAGTCACGTCGCAGCCCGAGGAGGCGCAGAATTACAAACTGGGGCACGGTGTGAGGGAAATGTGCCAGAGCCGCAGAGCACCCATGGCTGGGAATGCCGGCTCCGCATCACTGTGTGCGTCTTCATCAGCCTTGGACCCTTGAGTTACCGTTTCCCCCCCAGTTTTATTACTTTCAACTTGTTGGAATAATTTTTTTAATGAGTATTTTTTTAAAGACTTACTTATTTATTCATACAGAACTGGGGTACAGGCCAGAGATGTGGAGGGTGAGAGGATTCACCAGAGACAGAGCGGGGAGCAGAACAGGCAGATGGGCGAAGTACACTGCTGAGGGGAGCAGCGGGCGGGTCAGGAGAGGTCTGCCGCGCCATGTGGTCACCTCCGGGTAGGCGGGGATTGAACTCATACGGAAGTGGCTTAAGCTTCTCAGTGCTGTGCTTTAACCCACTGCACCACCAGGGAGGGCCTGGAGTTATTTTTTAAAACCTTACATTTCAGGAAAAAAGTTGTTTCCATGTTTCTTGGTCAGAACATGCATCTTTACTCTTATTTTGAATCATATGAGTAGTTTATTGAGGTTAAATATCGAATACTTCTATATGCCAGGTATTAGGTGCGTCACTTTCCTGCACCATGCCTGTTAATTCTCACAATAAGTACAAGGTAAGTACTGATAGTGCCTGGCCTCGCATGGGTGGAACCCGAGCTGTGAAGATGGTAGGTAATTTGCCAGAGGCCAGTGATTGGCAATGCTGGGATTTGAACCCAGGTCTGTGAGGAGCCAGAGCCTGTTGTCTTAAACGTGTTGTTTTAGTTCTAGTGTAAAAAAAAATAACAGGGCCACGTACCATCCCAGTAAACTTGAGTGTTATTACAATCAAAGCAGATAGTAGATTATTAGAGCTCGAAGCTCTTTTAGACATCATCTTGTCCAGTTTCTTTACAAGTGAGAAACTAAATCCCAGAGAGGTTGTTGTGTCATCCATTTATACAACTAGAAAAGAAATGCAGCAGGTTTGGGGGAGTCTGGGAAGAAAAAAAAAAACGCTTTTCTCTTGATTTTGGATTATAAAATCCCCTTGGCCACCTCTTCTCATCATCTGGTTATGCTCTAGAAGCTACACGATGCCAAGCCTTCATTCTGCTGAGCGGACACAGGTGGTAAACCCCTTCACGCTGCTTTCTGGAGGGCCACTATGTGCTATCCAGTTCAGTTTTATTGTTTTGCCTTTTTGATGCATGTCTGGGAAACACAATCTTTGCATCAGTAGAGAAAGTATAGATTTGATGAACATTTTAAGTTAAGAGGTTTGTAGAAATAAATTTTAAGAATCACTTTAGTCACCTCCTCCCCCGCATCCACACCACATCCTGCATACTGGTTTTGGTTGGCTGGCCAACAGAGAGGTAAATGATCTGCACTTCTTCTTTTTCAGATCTCACTGTGGGGAAATAAGTGTGATCTGTCTCTATCGGGAGGAGAAACTAGTGCTCAGAGGAGCAATATAATACACTCTTTGGACGACCTAAAACCTTACATTTTAGTCAATGACACGGAACGTCTTTGGTCATTACTTAGCAGTTGTAAAGAAACGGAGAAAGCTTCTGCAGTTACGGTGGCTATTGTTCTGGATAATTCTGGGTTTGAACTCGTTACAGATTTAATATTAGCTGACTTCTTGTTGTCCTCAAAACTGGCAACCGAGATCCATTTCTATGGAAAAACTATCCCATGGTTTGTTTCTGATACAACTATACGTGATTTTGAGTGGTTAATTAAACAAGTTAAGTGCTCTGAGCATAAGTGGGTGTCCAGGTGTGGGGTGGACTGGAAAAACTATGTGAAAACAGGTGAGTGGGTTTACCTTGACCATATGTTTTGGACCCTGCCTCATGAATTCTGTGCCATGTCACAAGTCGCTCCTGACTTGTATGCTCAACTGCAGAAGGCACATTTGATTTTATTCAAGGGTGATCTGAATTACAGAAAGTTGACAGGCGACAGAAAGTGGGAGTTCACCACTCCATTCCACCAGGCCTTGAATGGCTTCCACCCTGCTCCGCTCTGCAGTGTGAGAACGTTAAAGGCTGAGGTCCAGGTTGGTCTTCAGCCTGGGCAAGGGGAACAGCTGACCGCGGCTGACCCCAACTGGCTGACCACGGGGAAATACGGAATATTTCAGTTTGATGGTCCACTTTGACGTGACGTAGGAGCCCTGAATGTGGTGGAGGGGTCTTGCCGGGCTCTTTGCCTCCCTAGAGAAGCAGTGTGAACTCCATCACTTGCCCACCATCTGCTCTGAGTCTCTGCGCTTATACGCTTGGGATGCTTTTCTTTGGGTGGGGGGAAGATTTTGCCCTGCTAAATTGTTCTGGGGATAGAGGGCGTAAGGTAGTCACAGGTGTTTCCATTTAAACTGGAATTAGTCACTTCAAGTTAAAAGTATCATTTCAAGTCTCTTTAATGAATGTGTTTTTAATTGTGTAGAAAGCAAGTTAGCTAACATTGCTTTTAATACTGTATTGCATGACATTTAATATTTTAGGGAGCATGGAGTTTTATTTAACCTAATTTGAGGTTCTAGAAATACAGGCTCCATGAAGACATGGATGCTTTATTACGAGCGGCTTTTCTTGCAACTGTGATGTTTGAACACGTGAAAGCAAAACTTACCTCATTATGTTATATATAACTTGTTCTCCTTGAATTTTATTTTGTCTCAATAGCCTATTTTATTTGCATGTATTTGTGCTTTGATTGACCTGTGCAATGGGTGGTAGGAAACACAGCCAGGATGAAACAACTGGTACTTGAAGGAATGTGATATAGCTTCCGCCCTGTTAGCATCGCCATAATCAACTGAAATATGTTACTTTCAAGAGTGCTTTAAATGAGCAAATTTTTAGATTGCTCTGCAGTTTAAAAAATTGCTTTAAATAGAAAAAAGTTCTTGTGCATTGAATTTGGAGTACTACCAGCCATGAGTTCTTTTTAAAAAACTGTTCTTACACACTGATTGGTGATCACCAGTTTTTAAAAGCTAAACTTCAGGCCATTTTATTTTGAAACTGAAGTGGGGAATAAATCTGGAATTTTTTTTTGTACTAGAATAATAAAGTGAGTTAATTGTACAGCTGAGTTCGTGGGTTTTACTTTCCAGTGGAGGAAAGTCAAGCAGGGAAGATAAAAATTGAGATAATAAAGAAACTCATAATGTGTATTACAGAGGTTGCCAAGGCAGATTTTGTATCACTTGTGATAGTCTAAGCCTTTGTTAAAGTATGTGAGAACAACTTTTGTAAAATGTTTATTTAAAGCTACTGTTTCAAATTTACTGTTTCCTAATCTACATAGGCCCTTTAACGGTTTGCAGACACTTGATGTAAAATAGGCCACACTTGTGTACTTGCGGTGACCTGAGCTGGTGTAAGCAGCTACTGTGTGATTCATTGCAATTTCAGAGCCTGGATTTTTCTGCCTTTACTATATTTTATTAAAAACATGAAATGAGGATGTCTGAAGAAGTCATTCACCCCTTCCTCCCAAAAAGCAGGGGAGCAAAACAGCGCGAAAGAAAGGTGACAATGTGGAGAGGAAGCCCGTGGGTTATGCCAGGTGCTGAGAAGCGAAAGAAGCCAGCCGAGACACGTGCAGGAGTCCACTGACAGCTGAACTATGAAGAAGCGAAGCGAAAGAACAGGCAAAACTAAGCCAAATCCTAGCAGTAGCACTGCAGAATTGGGGTGGGAGGTGAGGGGCGCGGGGTGGACAGTGGGAAGGACCAGTGTGGTCTATGGCAGAGGATGATGGCTCTCAGGGGGCTCGGGGTGGGAGAGGTGTGGTAACATCTGAAGAGGGGGGAACCCGTCCCTTAAATCACAGACAGTGCTGAAAACCAATAATTTAACTGTTGAAAGGCTTAATAGGAGGAAGGGCCCTTCCGGTCTTTAATCACTTGGCTGTTTTAAACCAGCATTCTGGAGCTGGAGTTCCCTGGCTGTTTGTCCATCCGAGGTCCAAGTGCTTCTGCACACTCTCAGCGTTGCACCACAGTCAACCCATCTGGTCACTCCTAAAAGAAACCTTGGCCCTGCACCCACCCACCAGGCCTCCCCAGGCTCAGAAACCTACTTCCTGTCTCCAGCTGTGTCTGTTCCAGACATTTCCTATTTAAATGCTATTGCAAACGCTGTTATCCCTTGCGAGACTCCAAGCTTTATGGACTGTCGTCTGTTCCAGAACTTCATTCCCCTTTTCTGTCGTGTGCATGAACCACACTTGTGTGCCCCACGTTTATCCATCATGCCTGCGTGACCGGACATTGGGCTGCTCCCTACAAGCACTCGTGGGCAGGTGTGTATGTCCTCAGTTCTCGTGGATACACCTGGGGAGGAAACGCTAGATCACAAGTTCGATGTTTTGAGGAGGTGCCAAACTTTCCCAAAGTGTTTGTCGCATTTTACATCCCTCGCAGTCCTGATTTCTCCACATCCTGTTAATTCAGTCATCTGTGTCTGGACGAGAGCCACGTCCAGGGTTTGGTTTGCGCGTTCCTGATGACTAATGGTGTTGAGCATATTTGCATGCGCTGATGGGCTGCCCCTGTGTTTTTGGAGAAGTGTTTTCAGTTCCTCTGCCCATTTAAAATCAGATTATCTTTTGGTGACTGCCTTGGTTGTTTACGATTTCTGTCTGGAGGTCTCATGAGATAGATAATTGGCAAAGAGTTCTCCTGTACATAGTCTTCACTTTCTTGAGGGCTCCGCGGGAAGCACAAGCATGTTAGATCTTGATGAAGTCCTGTGTTTCTTTTGTTGCCAAACGCTATTTAAAAAAAATTATTTATGCATACAGAACTGAGGTACAGGCCAGATGTGCAGGGGGTGAGAGGATTCACCAGACACAGGGTGGGGAGCAGAATAGCCAGACAGACAAGCACACTGCTGAAGGGAGCAGCGGACGAGGCCGGAGAGGTCTGCCGCGCCATGTGGGTCAGCTCCCTGGCTGGGGATCGAACTTGCATTGAAGTGGCTGAGGCCAGCTTCGTAGTGCTGTGCTTTAACCCATTGCGTCACTGCGGAGGGCCCCAGACGATGGTTTTTGACTTGTTTCTTCACATTCCCTGAAGGGCCACTGATGTGAGGAACGGAGGAGCTCAGTGAACAGGGTTTTGACACCCTCTCAGCCTCTCTCCTTGTTTCTGCCCCAGCCAGTCTCGCCTGTATGTGTTCCGCTGAGTCACAACATGAGGGGGAGCGCTGTGCGCTGGTGTCAGATGGGGCCTGTTTCCCACTGAAGAACTTGGGGAATCTCCCCAAATCGCCTCCTCGGTTGTTTCAACTGCCAATACCACACTTGCTTGAGTATGAAGTAACTCCTGCAGAAAGCAGTTTGTAAATCTCATGCAGTACCTTTTTACTGAGTCATAAAGCCAATATCTTAGGTATACACTGATGGAAAAATGGAGAAGGGGCTGGCGCAGAATTAGGTGGAGAATGGTTTATGTTACTCTTTGCTTAAACGGAATGAACGATTTGCAGGGACAACCTAGCATTTTTTTTTTTTTT